ACAAAAATTATATTTTTTAAAATAAAGGCAAAACAAACTTTTAATTATTTCATTTGATTAGCAAATTTTGCTTATTAAGTCAATATAAATTTTTTTATATAAGTTAATATAAAAATTAAAAATATAATAATCACTTAATGTTATTAAAAAAAATAAAGTTGAAATCAATTGAATAATTAATAATTATAGAAGGTGTCAAAAAAATTGAATAATTAAATTGGATAAATTTTTTAAGAAACTTAAAAAATTCCAATCCTTTAAGCGATTTGGTATAAAGCAAACTTAGCTTTTTAACCTATGCAAATTGGACTCTAACCATTATCTATTAATCCGAAACCCCTAAATGAAAAATTTTACTGAACACCTACTTCATAATGGTGTAAAAATAAATAAATTTGCTAAACATCTATCTTATAATCATTTGAACAAAACCATTAGTTGCTATTCCTAAACTGCCATACTTATCGAACCCCTAGAGAAAGTCAGTGGAATTTTAATAATTTCCACTAACCAGATTCTTCTCTTTCTATTTTTGATGTAAGATTACCCTACAACCGAAAGCTGAAAGTACAGTTTCACTTCACTACCTAAACTTTTAAGAATTTGATAATTTAATGATAGAATTTCACTAAAACTTGTAATTAAGGAAATGGGTTGTTTCAGAACAATCAATGCATCATTGATTTTTATTTCCAATTCTTCCCTTCTAACTCATCAGAGACGGGGCTTTACTTTTCAATAATGAGAAATTTGAATATACTGAAAATTTTAAGAAGGAAAATTTCGGTAATTAAGTGTTTTATATACAAAAATGATACTTATTTAACATGTGGCATTCTAAGATGTAAATATGTTGTGTCATTATATGTATAGAAAATATAACAAATTATTTTGTATAGAATAAATTAAATCATGTAAAAGAGAGAAAAGAAACTGACAGAAAGATGAATTGAAATATTACTGAATATATTAAAATTTTTATATAAGAAGTTTTTATATAGAGGTTTAGGTAACCTACTGACTAAGAAACCCTAAATCTAATATACTAACAATAATATTTTATTACCATCAATCATGTGGTCGAGTGGTAGAATTACCTATGCTCTTAGTTATAGATTTAGGGTTCAATCCTTAGTCTCTGTATGAAAAGATAAACAATAATATTTTACTTGTCCATCTAAAAACTCACATATATTACACTGAAATAAGAAAAGTATTACATCCCATATAGGTTCTTAACCAAAGATAAACAAAAAGCGACAACTTAAAACAAAACAACTAAACAAGAAAATAAATCAGCTGGAACCACCACTGCAGCCATAGAAAGAAGAAAAGGGATCTCTTAGGTTGTGTTTAGGATTGCTATGAAGTTCTGTGGCAATGGCTTTTTCAGTATTCACTATGAGAAAAACTATTTGTTTGATAATTACTTTGAAAAGAGTCTTATACATTAATATGACCACTAAATTATACAAAACATCAATTAAAATTAATTTAATCATAACTAATTAACAATTTTATGAGGTGTGTGAAAAGGCATGAAAAGCAACTCCAAACACAACTTTAACCTCACAAAGTTGCACATCTTCCTCTCCACGATAACTATCTTTCAGCATGTGCTCAACACCACCAACCCCACAACATAGTAGGAAGCCGCAAGTATAAGCAAGAGAACTTGTGAGGGATTACTGCATTGAAATGCTAATCCATATTACCTGAAGATCCTGGGAACTTGCTAAAACCACCGCAGCCTTGAAGAGCAATCACCTGACTATCCTTACTAAGGTATAACCCCCACCATAGCAGCCTCTTATGCATCCAGGTTCTAAGATAAAGGAATTATGCCCTAAGACAGCAAATAAATCCCCCATCTCATGGACCATACCCCAAAAGCACATAACAAGAATAGCCAGACTAACAACTCTCCAAGTGAGACCAGCTACACAGAAACTAATAGAGAATGAGTTTTTTTGGGATTTTCCAACAAAGGACAAAAGGAAACAAGCTAAGATAAGTTGAGTCCAGAAATTACCTCACTTTCAGTCATGAAAAACATGATAAAAGAGCTAGCTACTCCTCTCAATGTATAGACTCCACAGAAGCAATTTCCAATAAACCATCTAGGTTCTGATACGCAGAAATATCGCCAAAAGCAATAGAAAACCCCAGCAAACCATGACCTAGGGGAGACTACTCGCCAAAGTTTCATACCAAAAGCAGCTAGCCTATCTGCTTCCCAATGAGAAACAACATCCTCAATCTCAACATAACAAGATAATAGACATGTTTTTTGATTTTCTTTATTGAAAAGGAAATCGAAAGGAAGGCTGTAAAATCCAACATAACAGAGACTTCCTATTGCCCCTAAAACAGCACCTCTCCAACTAGTAAGCATACCAAGGCCATCCTTCAAAAATCCATGAAATTTAGGATGGATATCTCCCAATAAAATCTCAAGAGACATCCGAAGTTCAATAACCATTTCTGCAACAAAAAGCTGGGATTTGGGAAATAAAGCCACCTTTAGGACTCTTTAAGTCAAGCAACCTCAACATCTGCTTTAAGTTTCAAAACTAAATCAACCATATAAGGCACTCTAACTACTGGGAATATATACTGAATAGAGCGGTAAACTAGCAATATAGATAAACAAGATATCCCCTAATTGCCGATCTACTACAAATCCTCCAACCCATTTATCAATTATATACATCAATTAGCTCGGCCTGTGATCTTGATTTTGGGAACAAAAACCAAAAAGAAAATTATGACAACCACCAAACATAGTCCCTCAATTCAGTAACATATATAAGCAATTACGCACCAACACTAGGCATATCAATGCAAAATCACTTGGGAGTCTAAATGAATAATCACCTGAGAAAAGTAGGAAGCCAGTCATTCCTTCAAATGGGTATAAAAGAAAACCTTCTGGTACCTTGAGTATACAACAGCAGATAAATCTTCAAAGGGCAATCCAACGATGAGTTAGAGAACATTGCTCTCCTTAGGGTTTGATAAGATGAAACAGATAAAATTGCTTAACCATGAGATGGAATATGGATTCAGATACCTGATTATTTGAGGGCTCATGATTGTCAATTAACTGGGAAATATGAGAAAAAGATACTGATATAAATTTTTTTTTATTTAAGAATAAAAAATTTATTAATATTTTTAAATAAAATTACTAATTTTTAATTTGTTTATTTAAAAGTGTTAATTTTATTGTTTTTATTTAAAGATTAATTAAATAATAATATTTATATATTTCATAATTATTTTAACCATTTAATTAAATTCTAAATAAAAAATAAAAAATTAATATTTTTAAATAGATAAAATTAAAAATCTATTATTTTATTTAAAAATTAATAAAATTTATATTTTTAAATAAAGGGTAACACAATTTAAATATTCATCTGCACTTTTTCTCAAGAAAATAGAGTCAAATTTCCTTTTTTGGGTTTTTCTAAAAAGCAAGAAAGAAACGGGAATGCAAGGAAAATTGATGAAAATGAATGGAGTCAATTGAGTTGGTATTATATACAGAGGAGGTGCTACGGTGGAAAAGATGGAGAGAGAAATCAGTAGCTGGGAGCCACAAACGGCGACCCCATCTTAAATCTTCTAATACAAGGAGCGGAGAGGGCAGTTATGATAAGAATAATAATATCAAATATAAGATTTAGAGCTAAATAATTGATATTTTAAATCTTCTAATAAACATGATTCTAAACCTAGCCCGACCCAATTCAACAAGACT